CCTACGCCCCTGGTTGTCACCTCACGAGGCTTACCATCAACGAGAGTGAACTTATACTTGCCAGAGCAGGGCACTTTAATCCTACCCAGGAACAGCTGACAAACATGACTATCCAGTCTGTTAATAGATCAGTTTCATTTTCAATTGGGTCTATCCTGCCAATATGAGATCAGTGGATAGACTCTATAAAAAACGAAGCCAATAGACAAATTTGGCTAACGTTTACATCGTTGCTACCCAATTCACAGCTTTGGATAACATGCCTAGTTACTATTGTTCTAGTTTACAGAAGCATGGACTGAATAGAGCAACAGTAACTGAACATTAAACTTATGTATTAAGACTTAAGAGTTAGTTACCTTTGTTCTATTTTATGCTTTAGTAATCTAGAACAATAGTAACTAGGCATGTGGGTTATATAAAATTGTGATTTGGGTATAAAAAAACGTTACCCGAATTTGTCTAATCGAGCGAGACTTGGGTCAGTACACGTATTTTTATAAAAATAGCAACCCTTGCCTAAACAGGATTCTGATTATCATATTGAGCGAGATCAAAATTAGGGAGTTTCTGTAAAGTGCATTAAACCATATTACCTGTGGCACTATTTAATGACCTAAACATCGCACAGAGATACTTATGTAAGTTTTTACTCACATTGGTCGTTCAGACATGTACCTCCCACCGTGGGAGCGGCAGATCAAAGTCATAATCAGGAGATTATGGTATTGTGTCAATGCTTCTGACGAAGTTCTTATTATATTACCCTCGATATTACCAATATATATTTAATAACATTAGAAGATATCAGGGTCGTAGACACCAGCAGAATCGCTGTAAATTTACTACTACTAGTATGTGTAACTGTAATTAGTGCAAGTGTAAGTTAAGTATAAATGTAAAGCAATTCGAATTCGGGAATGTTCTGTACACGATCGCTTGTATATATTGTAATTATATTTTCACAAAATTGTATATATTCTTGTGAACAAGCTAAGAACGTTTACTGGATAATAAATCAGCTTATTTTAACTCTTCAATTGTTAGTGTCGCTGATCAGCGAACACGCGAATGTAAACAAACAGCTAAAAATAGGCCCAATTTGGAGATTTATAACTTTTCAGAAAATTGTTTGCAGACGAGTTTTATTCCTGATTACTTAACTTTAGTAGGTATAATTTCAAATTACATGCCTTTTGAACTTGAGATAGGTGCCACTTTTGAGCTATTTTAAGTAAAATATGAGCAATTTTCAGCCTCCCGCCGCCATCTTGAAAACATAGTTTCGTAAAACTATATAAAAATCTTATTAAGCAAATAAAGTTGTTCAATCTCCATGAAAACGAGCGTATTAGTGTTAATCTTGCATGTAAACAGTAACTGGAGGGGATAAATGCGTCACAACGTTTTTAAAAAATCATTTGAATTCTTGTAAAATTCCCCTTCATTTCCGGTCTGAAAATACTCTCGCAAGGTCAAATTTCAACATGTGCTATAACTCCTATAAAACAGAAAGTTGAAACGTTCTGAAAGAAGCTCGATTAATATTGACCAAAGTCTAGTTCATATGCAAAATATGAGCTAAATCTATTTTTCCTTCCCGAAACCAGTGGGTGGATTTTACTGAGAGGCCCTCTTAATCGTCGCAACGAACTTGTCTCCACCATAGATATCTTATATACACTAGATAGCGCATCTCTTTTAGTAAAATTGAAGCCAAGAATATTCCAGCGGTTACCCCCATTTGAATAGATGGCGGCCATGTTGGTCGTTCCCACTTGCTAATAAACGCTTAAAAACAACAATAACTTTCATCATTTGAATAGTTTAAAACGTATTTGGAATAGGGTTAACTTAATGTTTAAGTTCCCTGTTTAAGAAATAGAAAACATACGAATCCCCTCATTTCATGGGAACGACCTGAGACTGCAATCACAGCTTCAATTTTTGAATTGCAGAATAAT